TTTTTTTTTTTTTTCCTTAGTGTCAGTAAGGCAAATTTGTCGCTTCTTTCCATATAGCCTGGAAACTTTAGTCTGTGTAGCAAGTCCATGTCAGAATAATTCCTGATGTTACTAGATGTAACCTCTCAGTTAAAAATTCCTCATTCCTCTCCTATCTTTACTCTGTTATACACTATTTCACCCCCTTAATCTTAACTGGCAGTACTCCCACTTCGTTATCATGTTGCTAAATGGTGAGTACCTTCTTGTTTCAGCCTATTCACTCTTTGGTGATACTCAGGCAGCCACTTCTGCCTCTTAGAAATTCAAATGTTTGAGTTTACTAATGGCTGTTTACACACTCAGGTGGTGTTTTGAGCTTTCTACACTGTTTACTTTTTATTCTGATATAACAGTTTATCTTACCACTTTTTTCAAGATGGAAGATTATCCACATATTTCAGTATTTTCACATATATAATATTTTTATTACTTGCCACATTCTTATTTTGCTCTGACCAATTGAAAAGGAATATGATTTCTTGGAAAAGAGACTGAATCAAAAGCTGGTTTTGCTTTATCATGTTTTGTGGTTCATGTTGGTTTTCTTCTTTCATTAGCAAAGCATGCAATCTAATTGTCATTTCTGCATACTGAATGGCTTTGCTATCATAGGATAACCATAAGATGTTAAGTCTCTGGTTATCTCTTACAGCTGCTGGGACTGCTCATCAGTAATCTCTGAGCATTGTGACAACTCCCACACATATATCATCTTCCTGGACTTCTTTTGTTTGAGTTTATTAAATCAGGATGGTATTTTATATTGTGGTCTGTAATTCTGACTCTCCAAAGTGATACTAGTGATTCAGAGCTCCTAAAACTTCACAGTTTCTCTTCTGAGACCAACTGTTCTGTCTCTCACCGAATTCCTACGATACGCTAACTGGACTTTGCTACTGATTCCTTTTACCTCATTCGTCTCTTCCAGCAAAGTCAGTATCTCCTTTACATCTGCTTTAAGATCTTCTCTTCAAGGGTAATTGTGGTACCGTCCACATCCCCAGTGGTGTGAGCTAAAATTGTTACAAATGCCAAAAGCTGGAACATACTGTGTGGGCAAAATATCCAAAGATGTTATTTTCCAGCTGTCTTATACTTGCATTCTTATGGTAGCACCAAACTTATGTGCAGAAGTGTCTAACTGTGGAAGAGACTTTTATGATCATTTGACGTACTTTGTCACAGCTGGCAAAAATAACAGGAAGCCATAAGTCTTCCTTATTGGCCAGGTGGGAGCAGTTATGTACTGGGGGTGCCCTGACTGTTTTAGCTTGACAGCCGGCTGAACGTGAGCCAGCAGTGTGCCCAGGTGGCCAAGAAGTCCAATGGCATCGTGGCTTGTGGTACAAAT